GAGCAGGAGGAGGAGGGGGAGAAGTCGGGAGAAGGAGAAGGCGGGAGAAGGAAGAGGAGGAGGAGGAGGAGGAGGAGGAACAGGACGAGGAGGGGGAGGAGGAGGAGGAAGAGGAGGCGGGGGGAGGAGGGCGAGGAGGAGGAGGAGGAGGCGGAGGAGGAGCCGCCCTTACTACGCGCGCCGCCCCGAGGAGCTGAAGCCGCAGGAGCTGCAGGCGCTCTCGCGGGTCTGCTCCGGTGCTCTCGGGGGCCCGAACAGGCCTCGCGACGCGGGCTGCGAGGCCAGCCGTGAGGACCAGGGGGGTGTTCTGGCATAACGGGGGGGGGGCGGAGGCTACTGCGTGAAGCTGATTTTTGGTCTTCGCCGCTTGGCATTGATCTTGATCCATGGCCGCCTCTGGCGCCAGGAGGCGCTGGGGGAACTGGCTGCGTGGTTACATGATTCGCTTATCCCCCCACCCACTACCCCCGCCTTGGGTTGGGCACGTCCTGGGTTCAGCGGTTATGGCCTCTTGGGAACATATGGGATGTTCCGTGGCAACCTCGACCCATGTTTGGGCCGTCTGTGGGCTTCGTGAACCCGTGCTGGAGGCCATGTGGGGCAACTTGGGCCATCTTGCACCACCCTGGAAGGCGTGCTGGGCTATGTGGGGCCACCCTTGGGCCGTCAAGGGCCACCTTGGGAGGTTCTAGCGGCGCCTTGCGAGCGGAGGGGAGAGGGGTGTAAACCACTCCTGAGGGGGAAGCGAGGCCTTGCCTTGGCAGCCGAGGCTGCTCCCTGAGTCGAGGAAGCTCCAACACGGATTAGAGACGGGTCCCTTTCCCGTGAACGATCGGCGCGCTCCGTTGCAAAATCGGGCGGCACTGGCCTCAAGTTTCGGGGGATACCTGCCCGATCCTTGGATCTGGCACCCACGCGACAGATCCACGGATCCTCAATCCATGTTCGAGTGCGACTGACAGGGCCGGTGGAACTGAAGCGCCCCCCTGTGCTCCCTCGTTGCGTCATTCCCGTCCCCGAACCAAGCCTCCCGGTCGGTTGTGAAGGTCGCCGAGGCTAACGCGGCGGCCATCAATCGGGGCAAGGTGTTCGTCAAGGATTGGCATGTCCCTTCCCAGCCCCACCCCGCTCTGCGACGTAGACGCGGCTCATACTTGACAGCGTAGCCGCATACAGCTGTCAGTTTATGCCCAACGTGGGCAGCCATGCTTTGTTGGTCTGGGTCGACGATGACGCAGCCGCTGCCGATGCGCTGATGCAGCTTGACATCATGATAGGAAGACGCCGTGCTCACGACACGTTCCAGGTCTTCCATGATTGCGAAGGCCTTACGGCCAGTGCTGCCGACCCTGTTCGCTGGGACGAGGAGGAGGAGGATGAGGAGGAGGAGGAGGAGGATAGGAAGACGTCATGCTCACGACACGTTCCAGGTCTTCAGGATTTCTAACCGCCCCTTTGCGGGCTCCTTGGAGGCGGAAGGGCCGAAGGCATGCTCTCCAGAACTCCCGGCACCATCCTGAGCCGATCGCGTTACGGCTGCACTCCTAGACTTAAGTCGGGCCTGTCCCTCTACAGGGGGAAGATTCAAAAATAGTGCAAAAATGGTCTGGGGACTATTGTTTGATTTTTGTTTGGGCGATTTAGGGTTTTTTAAAGTATTCAAATTTTTCGCCCAAAATCCGCTTGTAGGGGGACATGCCCGCCCGACCTAATCCTAGACCTTTGATGCCGGCCGGCCCCCTGCCTCGGATAATGGGAGTTGCAAAAGCTAAACCATGAGGTCTGGGCGCCGCCGTGAAGCAGTGTCGGGACGTGTTTGTTGTTGGACCCTGACCCTACGGATCTGCATCAGGGGTGCCATTGAATGTCAGAAATGCAGTAAATTCATATGTTTTCGGGCCCTGACCCCGCCGATCTGCGTGAGGGGTGCCACCGAATTTCAGAAATGTAGCAAATCCCATGTGTTTTTGGACCCTGACCCCGCCGATCTGCGTGAGGGGGTGCCACAGAATTTCAAAAAATGTTGCAAATCCCATGTGTTTTTTGGACCCTGACCCAGCCGATCTGCGTGAGGGGTGCCACAGGATTTCAAAAATGTAGCAAATCCTATTTGTTTTTGGTCCCTGACCCCGTCGATCTGCGTGAGGGGTGGCAGCAAATTTTAGAAATGTTCAGAATCCCATGTGTTTTTGGACCCTGACCCCGCCGATCTGCGTGAGGGGTGCGACCGAATTCCAGAAATGTGGCAAATCCCATGTGTTTTTGGACCCTGACCCCGCCGATCTGCGTGAGGGGGTGCCACAGAGTTTCAAACATGTTGCAAATCCCATGTGTTTTTGGACCCTGACCCCGCCGATCTGCGTGAGGGGTGCCACAGGATTTCAAACATGTGGCAAATCCTATTTGTTTTTGGACCCTAACCCCGTCGATCTGCGTGAGGGGTGCCAGCAAATTTCAGTAATGTTGCAAATCCCATATGTTTTTGGACCCTGACCCCGCCGATCTGCGTGAGGGGTGATACCGAATTTCAAACATGTGGCAAATCCCATGTGTTTTTGGACCCTGACCCCGTCGATCAGCGTGAGGGGGTGCCACCGAATTTCAGAAATGTAGCAAATCCCATGTCTTTTGGACCCTGACCCCGCCGATCTGCGTGAGGGGTTTAATTTTTACCCACCCCAGCAATTCAGAGCACACGCTCAGGGCGTGCTAAACCTGCCCGTTTGGGCCTCCCCCCCTCGCACGGTAAGCAGCAAGAAACAGAACTGTAACAGTGGTACAGGAAACTGCGAACCTTCGGTACACAGCCTGGTAGCCCCACAAGGGGGCCGGCGGATTTTTTTATACGGTCGACGTCACCCAATTTTTTGATCCGTGGGTCGAGAGCGAGCCTCTTCCGGTCGAAGCTAAGCGGGCTGCGCACAGCTTTAATTGACAGAGAGAGGAAAACAAAAGGAGGGACCTCACGTCAAGGCCAAGAGAGGGCAAAGCCCCGGGAACAGGCGGTGCCGAAGGCGAAGAGCATGCAAAGGAACGCCTTGTACAGGAACCTGGAGGCGAAGTACCGGGCGAGCAAAATGCAGTGGTGGTGGTGCCGTCAGCGGCGCTTCAAGTACACCAGCCCCAAATGACCGCGGGAGAGGACGCACCACGTATCCAGGGCGACGCCCGAGAGGGCGTCATCTAAACATACTAATACTATGTGTGCGCCGCACACTTAGGGGCGACGCGCGCAAGGAGAAATTTGACAGTGCCTGCTTCGTGGCGGACGCTTTCTGGCCAGACCGCTCCGGACACGATGTGCTACGGGATGGTTGTGGTATATGTTCGGGTCGGACGCACGCCTCCAGAGAAGACATTTATACCAGTATGTCCTTGTGCGTCCCATGCGGGGCCCCCGGAGCTCCGAACCACTTCCCTGAGACCGGTGTTTGGTCCCAGACCGTGTTTTGACGGTCCCGGGGGCCCAGCGAGGGCCCCGAGACGCGGAATACGAGGAACACAGATCCGTCTGCTTCTGCCTGACATCTGGCATGGCGCAACAAGACATCAAAATCGCGAAAACACAACCGGAGTGGAGCCCCAGGCCCAATCTCTCTGCGGCGTTTCTCGAGACCGATCGATCTGGGATGGTCCGAGGGCCCGAGCCCGGGAGAAAGCGCCCAGCGACAACAAGTTGCAACGCCCGGACTTTTAGGGCTTTGGCTCTCCATGCGTTGTAGGTCTGGGTTCTCGTCCTCTTGTGGAGCGCCCCGAGGAGCTGCGCAGCTACTGCATGGCCCTGTCGGCGGCAACATCCGAGGGCACCCGCCGCGGGGGCCACCCGGCGGACTACGCGCCGCCGGCCCCTGCGTTGCCGCCGGCGCGCGGGGGCTACGCCGAACCTGCTCGGGGGTCAGGGTTGGTCTTACCATACCACCCGCCAAACCACCCCAACCCAACCCGAAGGCCTCAATTTGCCCTCCATTTTCAGGGGGGGGGGGTTGGGGAACATTGAGAAATCACAGCACATGTGGAACCCGTACCCCCCCCCGATCCGAAATTCGGGTCTTCGGGTTGGGTTGGGGTGGTCTGGACGTTCCTGGTCATCCTGGGGCGCCTTCGTGGCCACGGCTGGATCCGCCTCGAAGTTATTGTCAGGCCGCACCCCAGGAGTTGATTTCTGATACTTTCGTCGGCTCCCAGCCCCCGCGCTGCCGCCAGCGCGCGGGAGTGCCCCGAACCTGCTTCGGGGTCGAGGTTCTCAAGGTTCGAGATTCTCTGAGATCCGGGTGTTGCAGTTTTTCTCACTGGGCGTTCCTTCCAAACTTCGGGTCCTCCAGCGGCCGTTCGGGACGATCCTGGCCCCTCCGGAACTTCTTCGGCGAGGCGCAGTTGCTGGAAGGCACTCCGAGGCCAGAAACCGCCGAGAACCAACGAACACGCCCGAAAATCCTCCTCGTCGTTCTCGTTCATGTCGTCTTCGTCGTCGTCGTCGTCGTAGTCGTCGTCGTCGCCGTCGTCGTAGTCGCCGTAGTCGTCGTCGTCGTCGTCGTCGTCGCCGCCGTCGTCGTCGTCGTCGTCGTCGTCGTCGTCGTCGTCGTCGTCGTCGTCGTCGTCGTCGTCGTAGTCATCATCGTCATCGTCGTCGTCATCATCATCATCATCATCATCATCATCATCATCATCATCATCATCATCGCCATCGTCGTCGTCATCGTTATCGTCATAGTAATCGTCATCGCCATCGTCATCATCGTCGTCATCGTCATCATCGTCATCATCATCATCATCATCCTCATCCTCCTCCTCCTCCTCATCATCATCACCACCACCATCATCACCATCATCATCATCATCATCACCATCCTCATCATCATCATCATCAGCATCATCATCATCATTATCATCATCATCCTGATCATCATCATCATCATCTCATCATCATCATCTTCATCTTCATCATCATCATCATCATCATCATCATCATCATCATCATCATCATCATCATCATCATCATC